CAATAGATCTGTCTCGGGGGACTGAGCGTAGACCCGTATGCACTGTTTTGGGCTGCCGAAATCAGAACTTGAAAACGCCACAGACCAGTCTTCCTGCAAACAGAAGGGGCAACAACAATCCGCGCCGAGGATGGAGTGGATGATGCAGAGATGCGCCGAGAAAGCTGCGAAGGCGAATGGAGATGGGAGCAGGAGAAAAAGTCGGGGGGGAGGTGGAGAGCAGCACCACGGGGAGGCGCACCAGGAAAGTCTGCAGGTTTCGGAAGACTCGCGGGAGCCAGAGATGGAAGGGATGGAAGAGCAGGATAAAGTGCGAGTGGTGGAGAGGTCCTGAGAGCCTGAGAGCACCCTTGGCACTGTTGTTCAAACAGTGTGAAATATCAAAGGACCAGTCCAAGTTCATCTGTTGTTTGTAAAGAAGGAAGAACGCTGCGCAGCACATGTCTGGACCAGAGTCAGTAGCGACGCTGAGGCACCGCCAATCCCAATGGTTCGCAATGTAGTTACCATCGGCGTCAACGGGGGGGGTGGAATTAACTAGCTTGGCCTGGCAACTATGTCGCAACATATTATCCATGGACATGATCGTCGCGCACGTCTTCACTCGTTTCCGTTTGCGGGGCGGGGGGGCCATATCTCCCCCCCCCCCGCCTCGCCAGTCAGTTGGAGCTTCGCCGCGCTCATGAAATAGTGCCGATGCGTCGCGCGGGCCGCCTCCAGGTCAGCCCCCTCCAAGAACGCAGCGCCCCCCATGTGCTCCGGCGGCGTCTGAGGCGGACGGGGGCGGAGGGAGGGGGGGGTCTGGGCAGCAGCACCCCGGGGCCAAACGCAAACCTGAAAATGCATGGGCGGCATCCTACGAAACTGCTGCCCGCGCTAACCGGCGAAAAGTGGACATCGTGTTTTTACCGGGTTCCGGACATACGGCCACCCCCACCCCATAGCAGCGACACGCACTCCGGAGGATGACAGTGCTCCCGCGGGAGGGTCGCGGTGGCGACCCGCCGAAGCCATGGCACCCCAGGGCCCCCCCCCCCCTCACTTGGCCCCCTCCTGGCCCCCTCTCCCCCCTCGTCCTGACCCCCGCATCGAGACCCCATCCTGGGCTCCGCCTGGGCCTCTCTCCCCAGACCCCCAAGTCGCCCTTCGGTACTTTGGGCCCCCCTTCTGGCCCTGGCGCCCCGCTACGCCCCAGGAAGCCCTCGACGCGCAGCCCCCCTTTCGGGCCAGCAGCCTGCGGCGGGCAGATGGCCATCTTCATCGAGGACGGGGAACCCACGCAAGCGATCTGGATGCTGCAGTCGGAGCCGATCTTCGTCCCGTCGGGGCCCGACAAGGTGATGAACTGCTCAGCCTGGCAGGTCGGGCGCGAAAGGCATGAGGGGCGGAGGACGGGAGAGGGCAGCATGTGAGCAACAACAGCAGGGCATGCTCAGGCATCCCCCCCTCCTCCCCCACCGCCCCATCGCCGACCCCCCCCGAGCTCCCCGTCCCCGCCTCCGTCCTCATCGAACCCCCCCCCGCACACTCTTCTCCTCAACATCCTACTCCTCCTCGAGGGCCTCCAAATCGTCTGCCTCCCCGCCGCGCTCCACCCCCGACCATTGCCTTTCTGCGCCGTGGCCGACCCACCTCCCCGAATCGAACGAAATGGAAACAGACGAACGCGCCAGCCTCGAATGTGGTGCGGCACACCTGGATGTACCGCGCGATCTCCCTGTTCACATGGCGCACGTCCCGCTTGTCGTACATCGGCCGCTTCGCAGCGACGGTGCCGCTGCCAGCGAGGGTAATTGCCCGCTGCAGCCCGTCGTTGCCGCGGACTAAAGCGGTGCCGACCAAAGCGGCCTCCAACAGGTACGTCACCCTCCACAGGACCTCGGGCAGGGCCGCAGTGCGAAAGCGAGGGGGGATGTTAAACATGATGCAACAGACAGGGCGCAAAGGCCAGCAACGAGCGAACGCCACCAAGCCCTCTTGGCGATAGTGTGTTAGGTCGCCCCCTCTGTTCAACCTCCTTCGCCCCCCTCGAAGAGAGGCGCGCCCCCCCTGTGCCCCTGCCCAGGGCGCGTAGGAACGGCGGAGCGCGATGCGTTGGAGCGCCCTGGTGCCGCCCATGGGCAGCCGACGCGCGACGCCCCTCGCATGGACCGAAGTCCCGACCGTGGAGCCTTAGTGAAATATGTTCCCCCATCCCCCCACGGGCCCCTCTCAGGCCCCTCCAGCACCCCCAGGAACGGCCCCAAAAGGAAAGGGACTGTCCCAAGACGACCCCTGGGCTGTGTCGCGGCCGTGGCACATCTGAAAGGCGGATGAAGGCGCCGTTCGAGGCTCTCTCGGGTCCCTCTCGGGCCACCCCCAGCTGCCAGGAACGCCCATGAGGTCCAAGCGTGTCCCGACGACTTCCTCGAGTGAGCCCCGAACAAGCCCCGATGCGGCCCCGTGACTGCCCCAGAGATGCGCCGTGCCCGCGGCGCAGCTCTCTGCTGGGCCCCTGGGGACCACTCGGGGCCCCCTTTGGCCCACCCCCCCCCCCTCTCCCCTGCCCCCACCATTTAGAAAACAAATCATAGCAGGCGCCTGCCCCGTGAGAGGGGCCAGACGCGGGCGTCTAACCAACGACCGCGCTGAACCATGGCAAGCAAACGCCCCAACCAAACAACCGATGAAGACACACGGCCGAAAATCCCGTTCCCGCTGCAGTCCGAGCGGCCGTGCCTGAATGGGCTGGCGGAGTTCGCGAAGTGGAAACACGTGAATTGGCTGCTATGGGGCATTGCAATGTGAGAGGAAGGGCGCAGGGGCCGCTGGTAGGAAGGATTGCGCGACCGCGCGGGGGGGGGGGGAGGCGATGCCATGCCGACAGCACGCAACGACGGCGGCTCACAACGTCAAAGTTACCCCTGCACGCATACAACACTACCAATGACAATCGCGCACACTAGAGCCCTGACGCAACGCCACCTGACGCGCACGCATAAACGCGCGCGCACACCTCAAACAATGCGCAACGTTTGGCAACAATGGCACGGCAGACATCAAAAAGCAAGCAACTGATACCTGGCCGAACACCTTGGCTACAATATCCATGACGCGGTCCTGCGTCGCCAGGTTGCACGTGTGAATGAAGAACTCTTTGAACGGCACCATGTGCAGTCCCAGGAGCTTGGCCAGCGCGGCCTTGTGCATCGACCTCCTGCCTTTGGGGCATTGGTCCGAATGATAAATTGCGGCGATGCCGCTGATGTCCACCACGCCGCCCCTGACGACGAGCACTGCGGGATTCTTGCCCCGGGGTGCGTCGCCATCCCGCCCAGCGTCAAGATCAACCCGCAGCGGGACCTCGAAGTCCTGAAGTGGAGACTGGCACGGCGAAGCGATGCGCAACATGCCACAACGATCCTAGCTAGTGGCGCGCATGCAACGACGCGTCACGACGTCCGACGCCAAGACGCGAGCGGCAAGACCGCCACGCAGCGAGCACACTGGAAGCGCAGCGCATCTAACACCATAACCCCGCACGCACGGATAAGGACAAGATCGGATGAGAGGGGGGACGGAGCGGGCGCCTCAAGCGGGGGTGGACCATGGAGGGGGGCCAAGTGCTTGAAACGGTGGGATGCTGGCCGACCTTGGCCCAAACGCCTTTGATGAGAACGACCCGCCCACCCCCCCTCGCAACGCTGGCACCCCACGCAACCCCTGATCGGCTCCAAGATGGCCCCCCGATGGCTCCAGTAGGGCGCCCAAAACAACCCGATGCTATAAGCAACTGGCTGTTTACCATTGGTTCTCTTATCGGGTCGCTCGTCGGCCCGTGCACGGGCCCTCGTAAAGCCACCGTTGAAGCACCAAGGGCGCCCCCCAGGACGTCCTGGCGGGTCCCAAGCTAAGGGGGCCATCAGAAAGCTACAAACAAGCGCCCAACCCACCCGAAACGGCAATCAGCTGGCGATGTACCATGCGTCCTCTCCTGGGGGCCATCTGGGACTATACAGAGGTCCTCCTGAGGCCATCTTGGAGTCCTCAGGGGCGCCCCCACGTCGCCCTAGCGCGCTCCGAGACTGCACCGAGAAAAGCAAAGACAGAGCACCCACACCAACCGAAACGGCAACCCGCGGGCCGCTTACAATGCCACCCCCTATCGGACCCCCTCCTGGGACCATGCATGGAGGCCATCGTGGAGCAATCGTCAAGGTTCCGTGGGCGCCCCCCCCCCCCCCCCCCAGCGGGTCCCAAAACTACCCCCCAGGGAGCCGCAACAAGGCGCCGAAACCACCCGAAACGGTACGCACCTGCACCCCCGCATCGGGCCCCTTCTCGGGGCCATGCAGGGGCCCTCGCGAGGCCATCTCGTAGGCCACAGGGATGCTCCTAAGGCGCCCTGGCGGGCTCCAAGGCAGCGCCCCTAGGGGGGGGGGGGGGGGCAAGAGTGAGCCCATGCCACCCGAAACGGCACACAGCTGGTCGCGCACCATGCGCCCTCTCCTCGGCCCCCCCTCGAGACCCTGCAGGGGCCCTCGCTGCGTTATCTTGGATGCCCCAGCGGCGCCCCAGGACGCCCCCAAGGCGGCCCCCGCACGACTGCAAGAAATAGCCCAAACCACCCGAACACGTAAACGGCTGGTTATTTACCAGCGCTCCACTTCTCTGGCCCCTCTCGGCATGCAAGGGCCATCGACAGGCGAACTTCGCCCGCGCACACATGCATCTGAGACCGCCGCAACCCTTGCAGCGGCCCAAGGGCGGCATGCACATCACGCGGCGATAAGCCGCGTCACGAAGCCGCCAATCACTGCAGCAGTTGGCGTAGCGGGCAGGAGCAGCGGCGGCGGCCTTCAAACTGGAATGGCGGGGGGGAAGTGGGACGGGGGCAAGGTGCCAACGAAGGTGGGTCGAAGGCGCGGAAGGCGAGTAAGGTTAGAGAGCGATTGGCATGCAAGAAAAGGTCCAGAGGTAATTGCGCGAGCAACCCGTCCACGATGCGCCCCAAGCCCGTCCTGAAGCCCTCATCCTCAATCCCGCCCTTCGACTTGATCTCACCGTGGGACCCCCGAGCCGACACGACCAGCAAGCAATCCAAAGAAATTGAGCAACACGTCAAGCACCTCGCAACCGAAGCACCCTGAGCAAGCCTCCCGTACGGCATCGAAGTGCGAAACGCATGCGGGGCCAACGCGTACTTTTCGATCATGGTCTTGATAGCGGGCATCTTGCGCTGCCAGAAACGCCAACCACCCATCTCGCCTGGGAGCCCCAAAGCGTCTTTCAAGGACGGCGTATGCACCCAGACATGCCCTGACCGAGACCAACTCTCGAATACGGATGCTGTCACTTTGATGCCTGCGAGCCCTGGGGCGCCAACCACCAAGGATATGTCCATGTCCGTGCGGCGCTGCGCCAAGTCGTCCACGCTGCCAAGCATGCTACAGCCGCCGTCGATGCTGACGTGGTTGACGCCCCCGTGGTCGTACAAGCTCTGGCAGAGCAAGTCCTGGCACCACCTGGGGGCGGAGTCGACGCTGCTTCTGCCGCCGCTATGCTGCGACTCCAAGGGCCAACGACGGGCAAGTGAGCGGCGAACGAACGGGCGGCCCTGCGAAAAGCAACGCGTAAATCTAGAACCAATGCCGCCGACGAGGCGGGCGCGCGATTTCGGAGCCAATGGAGACAAGAACGGCGGCGAGAGGGGCGGCTGGAGCGGGGGGGGGGCGACAGCCCCCCCCGCCATCCAACCCACCCCGCCCCACCGCCACCACCACCGCGCCTCCCCCCAGGGCGCCTGAGCAGCGCCTTGCCGTCTGAGAAGCATTGTCCCCATCCTCCCCCGCCTTCTCCTGCTACCCCCCCGCCCTCCTCCCCCGCGTTCTACATCGTCGTCTTCTGCATCCAGATCTTGCTCTCCCTGTTGACCCTGATCCTCCTCCTGCTCCTCATCCTGCACCCCTCACATGCCCCCCCCCCCCCCTGCCCCATGCGAAAGCGAATGAGAGAGGGGGAGAGAGAGAACGCGAGAGAGAGATCGAGAGCGAGAGAGAGAGGGACATGGGGAACGAGAGAGCGAGATGCGGGCGACGGCGCGATCGAGCAGCCGCGCACCTGCAGGCAGCGTCGCCGCGCGCTGGCACCAGCATGCCGAACTGAGTGTCGGGGTCTTGCTCCAAGCTCCAGGTCTTAGCGGCGGGGGTGGAGAAGGGCATGCAATAAGAACTTGTAGATGTGCCTGTCGGGCATCGAGCGAGCCCGCTCGCTCGATCGCACGACCACGGCCATTGGCCAAACGGGCAACAACGCCATCCCCCTTCACTGCCCAGCCGCCGCGGCACGGCCACGCTCACGGTGCGCATGTATCCACGAGGGGAGGGAGGCCGACTCTAAACTCATCGACCCGAACGCCGAACGATCGTGCCACGGCGACCGCGCTCGTAACCCCAGACCGAGCGGGCCCGCCCGCACTGACGTTTTGGCGCGCCAGACGGGACCAATCATGGATGGGCCCACCTCCGAGTCAGGCAGCACGACCGACTCGAGGGTGCCGAGGTGCGTCAACGTCTGCACGCTCACCCCCACGCGCATCTCGTCGACGCCGAGGGCGTACATGGCCGCCCCCGCCTGCAGCGTCATGGTGCTGACAGGCTGGCCACGCCCCCGCTGCCCAAAGATGGGCCAAACGCTGCGGTGGAAGTGACGCCACCCCCACCGTGGGAGCCGCGCCGCGCGAGGGGGCACCCCGAAACACCCTTGCCTCAAGGGGTGGGGCGGGGGGGGGGGGGGGGGTGCGGGGGGGCGCGCGGGGGGGGGGGCGCGGGCTTGCCTCGGCGCCAGCGTCGAAGATCGCGCGCCGAGGGGCGAGGGGGGGGGCGCGCACCCCGAACCAAACGGACGTGCCCAAGGCCGACGCCGAAGAGCCCCAGTGACCAACTGCGCGCCAGTAAACCGCGCGACGATGCCCTCACCAGCCACGAACCCAGAGGCCCACCGGCCAGCGCAACGCACGGCGTGGCCCCACGGCTCACGCCCCCCCAAGACTAGGCGCCGATCGGGCCCCGAACGCACGGTGGTGAGGACGAGCGGTGGGCGGAGGGAGGAACTGGGCCCACTGGGCCCCCGTGCCCGCGGCGCGGGCAGGATGCGGGGCGTCGGCGTCACCGAGCGCGGGCGAGGCAGGATGGAATGTAAAGGAGATCAGGGGGAGAGAGAGAGAGAGAGAGAGAGAGAGAGAACGAGAAGGGGAGAGAGAGAGAGAGAGAGAGAGAGAGAGAGGTGGAACGGGGGCGGGTTTGCGAGCTGGAAAGAACGAACAAGAAGAACGAGATGGAAAGGATAAGAGGAGGAAGGGGGCGACGCCCGTCTACGCGGGGTGACGGAGATCACTTCTTCACGAGAGCGGCGCATAGGCAGCGCCTGCCCGCGAACCAAACAGGACGTCCCGCCATCAGCCAAGAGACCGCCACCCGCAACGCGGCGGGCATGACTGAAGGTGGCCGAGGAGTCACGACGAGGAACTCGGGGGGTCAACGGCAGGCGACGACGCATGAAAAGAGAGAGGAGCAACCCGAGGACGAGGGTGTGAATGAGAACCACGAGGGAATGCGAACGCATGAAAGAACAGCGCGAGCTGGCGGGGGGAGGGCATGGCTCGCACAGAGAAGCACACCTATTACATCACAACCCACCATCATCATCACCGACGTCATGTCCGTCTCTTACCTTGTCTCGGTGTTATATGTGTGTTGTATAAAATGTGAATGGCATGGGTATCTGTATTGTTCTCCGCGACCCTCCCCACGCGTTCCCCCCCTCTGCGAGTAAAGTGTTCGCATGTGCGTTTGGTGTGGGGTGTGCGTGGTGCGGCGGAGCTGCGAAGCACTACCGAAAACCCGACAGCCATATCCCGCTGGCTGCGCATAGACTGGTGGCCCCTGCACGAGGCGCGACGTGCGAGCGCGAGACAATCGGCGCATGGTGGATAACCGATGGGCACTGGATGCAATGACACTGGCCTACCCGAAGCAATCAACACACATGCATTGCGAATGCGATGGGTTTTGGTGGGGGTCAGCCCTGGCCCAAGGAACGCCTCGACAACCTGGATGCAACCGCGCATCTGCGAGGCCCCTGGGGGCCTGCAAATTCGTTGTCTCGCACTCATGTGCGGCCTGCTGCCGCGCCCCGCGCCAGAGCGCGGCGAACGGCCACCCGCTCGAAACGTGATCTCTGAAATCTGCCTCCGAAGCCCTGCGCCCCTGGACACCGACGCGAGCCGCGGGGGGGCCAGCTGCGCCCGCTGCTCCTCGCGACACCCCCCCCCCGCTTCAAAAATGCACAGTCCTGGGCGTGGCCGACTGCGAAAACAAACATCAGAGATCAACGGTGCGGCGAGCCTACGCTGCCTTCCCCTTGGCCTTGCCCTTGCCCTTCGGGGCCGCCCCGACCGCGCTGGCGGCGGCAGGCGCCCCCACGGGGCGGCGGCGCTTGCACGACTCGGCGAGGCTCAAGTCCACCGTGACCTCCGACGCCTTGGCGACCTCCTTCTGGCTCTTGATGAAGTTGCCCGCCGCCTGAGCGCGGCGACGGGGGGGGGGGGGGGGGCGGCTGGCAGGCACCAACGACGGCGACGGAATCGGCGGCGGCGGCGAGAGGGATCGATGCGGAGGGGTAGGTGGAGGGCGGGGCCTCGAGCGCCTGCAACTTGCGCTTCCTGGCATCGAGCATGCCGCCTGCCGCGCTCGGGTCCTGGAACTTCTTCATGAGCTTCCACGCGTGCGACTTCGTGCCACGCAGATCGAAGTAGCCAGCGCCCTCACTGAAGTTGTCGAAGATCTCGAGATTGCCTGGGAGCCATCGATCTTTCGGCAGCTCGACGCGACCCCCAGTCACCTGGTTCGCGATGCCCGTGATCATCATCTTGGGCGCATCCTGGCATGGCAACGAAAAGGGCGCGGAGGAAAACGGGAAGGATGAAAGAACGAGAACGAGAAGGTCAGAATGCGAACGCACGAATGAGAGGACGAGGCCGAGAAGGTGATAAAGGAACGGGATGCCAATGCGGAACCGAGAAGGATGGGAAAATGAAAACGAGAACGGGAGATGGGAGAATGACATCGGGGTGTTGGAGAAGGTGCGGCCGAGAAAGACGGGGGGCGATGGCGGAGAGGCGGGGAGTGATGAAGCCTACGTTGGAAGAGAACTCCTCCTCATCATCATCATCACCCTTCTCCTTCCCATCGCCATCCCCCTCCAAGGTCGTCGCATCCCGCCCCAAAGCCGACAGCGATCGCCTGCGCCGCCTCCTCACCACCCCCCCGCCTCCTATCCTGGCGCCCGCTACCCTCGCCCGCCTGGCCCTCGCCCCGAGGGTCCTCAGGGCCCGCCGCGTTGCGAACGATCCTGTCGTAGACCCCGCTCGGATGCGCGAACGACAGCACGCCATCCTTGATGGCCGTCTCGAAGAACGGGGAGGCGGGCAGGTTCACGAGGCCCCGCCTGTTGATCTGCTCCAACAAGTACTTGGCCAACACGTCAATCTCCTGGAACGCTGCCCCGTAAATCTGGAAGTCCACGCGCTGGCCTGGAGCGCGGGAGGCGGAATGGAGAACGCGGGTGCGGGGGCGGGGGGCGGGGGGCGGAAGCAGGTCTGATGCGCGCGACGATGCGACGGGGCCAATGGGAGGCATCGGGGCGACGAGACCAGCGACCGAAGGAGATGGGGCGAGGGCGAGGAGCGCGGAGGCGCGCAACTGCACTGACGACGACCGCGGGAGCACGACGAAGATGGCGCGAGGGCGCGAGGGGTCGGGAGCAAACCAACCAAGGCGAGGAAACGTGCGAACGCGAAAGAACCACGAACTACATGGTAGGGGAGATGCAACAGGGGCGGGGGGGGGGGGCAGGTGGGACGACGGGGGCATCGTACGCATCCACCCCGTCCTGCGCAATGTTGCCATATCTGACTGACCCTCCACCTCTCGCCCCCTATCCCTGCCCCACCCCCCTCGCGCCTCCACCTCCAGCGCCCCCCCCCCCCCCCCCCCCCCCCCCGCCCACCGCGCCAACCATCTGCTCGGCCCCCCTCGTGGCCCCAAGTGCATGCCATCTCCCCGCGCCCCGCTCGCCGCCCTCATCGCCACCCCGACCAACCTCTCGCGCCATCGGGGCGATGCGCGGTCGGGCGGCAGCGGGCCTGACAAGAATTCCAAGATCTTGCGCGTCGGGCCAGCGCTCTTGGCCGTCAGCGCACTCACCCACGTCTGATTGATTTGTTTGGCCGCCGCCTTGCTAAATAGTGCCCATACCCACATGACTGGGAGGTCGCCGAGCGTCGCTACGTCGTCAGGGAAGTGCGAGGCGCCGTTCAGGAAGTCGACCTTGGCTTTGACGCTGCGGCCCTTTTTGGCGGCAATGTCCCGGCCGCGGCGCGCGGCGGCGCGAGGGGGCCGAGGGCGCCGGGCGGGGGCTGGCGACGCGGGAGGGGGGGGGGGGGGGCGCGATGGTCGCGGAGGTCAGGGCGATGCCAAACGGGAAATCGCGGAGCGGGCGAAGGGTGAAGAAAAAGGCGCTGTCGCAAAAAGGGAAGCAGCGCCGTGAGAAAACAAACGAAGGTGCCACGAGCGCACGGGGTGCGGCATGTGAAGTCGGGGAGGGGGCCGAACGGAGAGAGGAGAAGAGCTGGCGGCAGGAACGCTGGCGCAGGAACGCTGTAGCCATGGCGCGGGGCATGGGGGGGCGGGCGGAGGGAGGAGGGGGGGGGGGGGGGCATGACAACCAGAGGGGGCGCGATGGAGATTGGGCGGGGGTGGGCATGAGAAGCGGAGCTCGCCGTCGAAGACTTGGGGGGCACATGCAGACCAGGGGGATGCGGGAGCCAGGGGCGCAGCGCCGAGGGGGTGGCGGACGGGCGAGGGGACCCAAGAGGGATGGCTAAGAGGGCTGGGAGGAGGATGAAACGGAAGACGCGAAGGCAGGACAATGGGGGGGAAGAGGAGAGGGAGAGAAACTGAGAACCGACGGCGTGGAAGGAATGGGCGACGAACGACCCTCGCGCCAAGGCCAACCTGCGCCACCGCTCAAACCCATCCCACCCCTATTGCTAGATGCCTCCCCTCCCGACCCTCCCATCCATAACCTCAGCCGCTCACTGATTCCTCCCCCGCAACCACCAAACAACCCAGCTCCCCCCCAATTGGCCGCTCCTCCATCGCACGGAGCGGCTTGCTGGCGAAGATTTCGATGTGTGGCACTTTCTGAGGCTCGTCCAACATAACGTTCACGATTGATGCAACTGCGGCGAGACTCTTAACCTGGCTCGGCGCGGCGGCATGGGGGGTGGGGCTGGGAAGGCAAGAGCGGAGGCCACCAACAACATATAGTGGGATCAGTGGAAGATGCGACGGCCATGCGAAAACTCATGGAGTAGGGAGGGGAGGGGAAGTGGGAACTGCTGATCCTCCCCCTCGCATTCACCACCTGCATCCTCCCCACCCAATGCCCTCCGCCGCTCCCCTCCTCACATCCCTGCCCCGCGCTCCCAAACGCAAACAAAGAAGAGCCAGGCACCTTCATGCGCTGCTCATCTGTTTGCTGGGGCACATCCCTGTTGAGCAGCATCTGGCACAAGAGACGCTTGTGGGGGGAAACAACTGTGGCCGGCAAGGACTGGGACGAGACTGGGACGAGAGCTGCCTCTGGTGTGGCGGCGGCCGCCGCTGCGGCAGCACTCGAAGAGGCCATATTGCGCAAAACGCGGCCCCGTTCGCACTCGGCGGCGGCCAACCGCCCCCCACCCCCCGCCCTGAAAGGCCCATTGCACGCCCCCCGCCCTAACCCCGACGACCAACCCCCACCCCTCCACAAAGAAGCGCAATCCCTTTCGGACGGAGGCGCGCGGTCTGGGAGTCGGGGGGGCAACGGGAAGGGGGGGTGCGATCGGGGGAGACGGGCGCGGGGGGGGGGGGGCGATCGGGGAGGTGGAATTCGAATGTGGGATGGGGGGCGCGGGGGGTGGAAGCGGAGGGGAGGGGGCGATCGGCGGGGGGCGATCGGGGGAGTTGAAATTTGAATGCGAGAAGAGAGGCGCGGAGGAGGAGGGAGGGGAAAGGCTGGCCGCCGCTTCGCGCGAACGGGCGGCGCGGGAAACCTCGCGAGCCTCACGGCTGCCGCGACGGTGGCATTGGCGACGGCGGGCGATGGGCAACGGACAACGACGACGACAGCCATTGCGACAACGAGTGCGATGGCGCTAGAACGACGGCGACGACGACGCCGATGGCGACGAAGACGCCGACGATTGAAGCTACGACAGCGGCAGCGAGGGAGGGAGAGCGAGGAGGGAAGTGCAGGAGGGGAAGGAGATGAAGGAGAAGGAGGTTTTAGAAAAAGAGACACGCGCTGAATAATTGCAAGCCAACTGCGCCGAACAACAGGAGAATCCCTTCCCAAATATTGGGGGAACCTGTCTGTGCTATGGGTTGGGGGTGTCTTGTTTTCTTGTGAACCTCGGCGAGAAGCAGCTGCTTGAGAGCATCCCGAGGCTGGAAGACCGCCAAAGCGCCAGACAACCAACCTCGAACCTCGAACCCGGTCCGTCCCTGTCGGTGCCACTGGCCACCCTTCTGGGGATACAAAATTGGTACCGGTATCGTTTATCCCTGGACCTCTCCCGGTGTGTGTTCTGACCAGACTTCCGGGGCGAAACCAGCAATGGCGACGAGGGCCTCACCGGGAGGCCCCCAAAAAGGAAAACTGGCCAAAGGTAGCCTTATGGGTCCCTCCGGGGATCCTGTAATGTACTTGTGACTTACTGGACTGAAGGTTAGGGCTGGAAAAACCTGCTACTTGGGAAGAGAAGATCTACTGATGGAGTGGAGATGAACTGTGCTACTGATACTTGGGACTGAAATGAGATGAGAGCTGGATGTCTAACTGGGGAGCTACTGACTGAAATACTTGAAGTGACTAACTGGTGATGAGTCTACTCTGAGGAAATGATCTACTGATGAAACTGAGAAGATGTGGGAACAAATGATGATACTGACTACTGATGATGGCTAATGATGGAAGGAGTGTGAACTGTGATGAAGACTGAGCTACTGTGAAGCTGAAAGTGACCTACTTGGCATGGCGGGGCGGGATCTACTGACCCTGGTCAATCCAAACCCGGGCCAGTCAAAGTTTGCAGAATCCTGCAAGATCCTACTCCCCTGGCTCTGCAAGATCTAGCATAATCTAGCGCTCTGACGGCTCCCCGTTTGCACTGACCCCCGTCCCTCGGGCCCGGATCCCTTTCACTCCTCTGGCCCCCGTCCTTCGACAGCGGGCTGCTGGGGTCCGTCGCCTCCTCGAACTTGGCGATGCCCTGCCTCGCCTGCGGGCGCGCGGCGAGGACCCCCCAACAATCGGCGGCGAGCGAGGGGGGAAGTGAGAAGGAGAAGACCTTCTCAGCAGGCGGCGGGGCTTCTCAGAAGCCTTCGCGCCTTCTGGGAAGTTCTCTGTTTCTCCAGGGACCTGGGGACGCATTGAAAGAAGACAGGCTGAGTACTCGCAAGGGTGCCCGTAGGCAAGAACTATACCTCTGGTGCGCGGACTCGGGTGGCCGCGGGGGAGCGCAAATCCAAGCGCCCCCGCCAGTGCTGGTGGAGGGACCCATGCGGGCCCGCACCAAAAGGTGACTCCTGCAAAGGGTGGCCACTCTTGTGCGCAGCCGAGCAGAAGAGGGGGCCACGACACCTGAGGAGATCTCATGCCCCCCGCCACGAGATCCACACACCCCGGTCATCACCCCCCCTCCTGGACGGCCCTCGATGATCCACAGACCGTGTGGTAGCGCCAACGTGTGCTCGTCCACCGAGGCCCTTCCGCACGGCGCAGGCGGCGCAAGGAGCGCCCACGCAGGCAGCGCGCGATCGGCGGACCCGCACAAGGCAAACACACGCTTGGGCCAACACACGGACGTCCGCCGATCTGATTCTTCCACCCGCGGCCCAAGAGGCCCCGACCCCTTCCCTGGGGGTGGTTATTCGTCCCGGATCTCCAAGTTTGATCGTCCCCGGGTCGACCGATAACGGGCCCTGGAGACCGAAATCCTAGAGGAACCACCGGGCTGAACAGATCAGATCCTCGGATCTCTGGGCACGGCGTCCTGAGGATAACCTTAGGTCGGGCCTGTCCCCCTACAGGAGGATTTTGGGCGAAAAAATTTTAAAAAATGCCAAAACAGTGCACCCAAATAGCGAAAGAATGCTAAGAGATCGCCCCCAGACTATTCTTGGACTCTTTTTGCATGTCCCCCCTGTAGAGGGACAGGCCCGACTTGAGTATCCTCGATGCCGCGATGCCGCGGCCGAGGGCCCGCCGAGCCCGCCGGGAGGGCGAACGACGCCTTGTCCACGTACCACGAGCCCATGGCCTGCGCGGCCGCCTCGATGGCCGCCCGGGCCCCGAGCCCGTCGTGGATGATCTTGTGCGTGACCCGGGCGAGGACCGGAGGACGCCCCGCCGAGACGCACGGCGGCCACCCACCCCCCGATCTCCGACGATGTGCTCCAATGGTGCCACCCTGGCGTCCCAGAGCCAGACCCCCGCGGGTCGTGGCAGAAATCATGCTGGGCAGTGTTTTCCTCCTTGTCGGCCTCGGGGGGGCCCTCACCGGCCCTCGGGACCGCCCAAAAACGGCTGGGGATGAAAAAGGGGTCCAGGGGAATGGGTCCAGGCCGCTGGGGATCGACGTTATGAACAAAATCATGATGTCGGGGGTCTGGGGACATGCGATTTCCTGACCTGTTTCTACGCGGGGGGGGGCCCCGAAATCCAGGTACAGTAGGGGCCCGACCACAAGAACCCCTCCACAAGAAACCCAACCCTGAGACCCCAGGGCGTCCAATTGATTTTTGGTGTGGGAACGTCACGCCTTCCATCGCAACACCCTCGAAACCCAAGAAACCCAGGACACCCTGGAGGCAAGCAGGGTGTTTCTTGGCATGGGCCCCCGCTGTACCTCCTCCCTGGGACCGGCATTTCCTCTGGAGCTGTTTTCCACGTCCAGGGGGCACGGTACAACAGTCGAGGTAGTGCCGGAAGGAACGCTACATGGTCGGGAGCAGCCAAAAGGGGGGTGTCCAAGAGGGGGGGGCGCAAATCATGACAAGCGGCATGTGCGCGGCCCAGTGGGTGGGCCAGGGACGTAATGAAATAAGAAGAGGCGCCATGAAATCTGGGGAAATATCATGGCCCCCGTCATGATATCCACCCCCCCCTAGTCATCACCCCCCTCTTTTCCGCCCCCGACATGAGGAATCAAACCTCCTTTTGGCTCCAGAAGCGCCCAAGTGCACAGGGAGCTGCTCAAAGAAAAACCACGGAAGGATGCAAGGAACAGCGAGCCCCTTCCGAAGCCGAAGCGGTCCTTCCCTCGGCGTCCTGACTGCAAGAGTCCCCCGAGGGCGGGGGCCACGAACAAACTTCGTCCAGACTTTTGCTGCGACGCGAGCGTGCCTGGCGTTGGTCCTCCATCTAGGCTTAGGTCGGGCTTGTTCCCCCCTGCAGGGGGATTTTGGACGAACAACCAGAAATGTTCCCAAGATGCTCCAACCACGCTCCCAAATAATCAAAACATCGTCCCCAGACCATTTGTTGTTTTGGCTGTTTCTGAATATTCCAGGTCTCTGGGCCTCTGGGGCAGGTCGTCGGGACACCCGGCCGTGAGAGATGGCCCCGGGACGGAGATCGGAGGCGAGCGCGAGGGGGGTGGGATGCAGAGGGAGAAGAAGGCTTTCTCAGAAGGACGAGGAGGAGAGGAGGAGGAGGGAGGGAGGGAGGAGGAGTGGAGGAGGAGGAGGGAGGAGGAGGAGGGAGAGGGAGAGGGAAGAGGGAGGAGGGAGGAGGGATGGGAGGGAGGAGGGAGGGAGGAGGGAGGATGGGAGGGAGGGAGGGGAGGGAGGAGGGAGAGAGGGAGGAGGAGGAGGGGGAGGCAGAGGAGGAGGCGGAGGAGGAGGAGGAGGAGGAGGCTGAGGAGGAGGAGGAGGAGGCAGAGGAGGAGGACGAGGCAGAGGAGGAGGAGGATCGATCGATCGAGCTCTCGGGCCGGTTCGGTGCTGCACTATCGCTGCGCGCTGTGCTGCTTAATAAAGTTGTGTGGCCTAGCTGAGGTCGCTTTTCTGAAAGGGGGTCGCGGGCGTCACTGAGACGCTCGGGCCCTACTTGCACCGTCCTCCCCCGCGCAGGGGTCTGCGGGCAGGGTAGCACCCGCTATCGGGTGCCCTCTCGCTGGTTCCTCTACTGCCCCGTCTTCTCAGCCCTTCGGGTGGGGGCGGGGAGGTCGGTGCAAGACAAATTAGTCAGGGAAGCTCGGGCCTCGGAGTGGGAGGAGGTCTCGGACGGAGGCGGAGGAGGAGGGCGTCCTTCCCTGACCAGCTCATGGAATCGTGCGCTGGTGCGTAAAAACGGGGTGGCCTGATGGGCCGCGCTCGCTGGGGCAGGACATAGCCGCGCCGTCCGCTCACGCACATCATATTGTGCTGCTCCTCTCTCCGTGTCGTTCTGGCGAGACGTCCCAGTTCTCGTTCTCCGTGCGGCACCGCCCCGATCTTGCGGCTCGTCTCCAGCTGCGTGTCCATTTACTTCGCCTGGAACTGAAGCCTGCACTTCTCCGTGATGCCCCCTCCTTTGCCCTTGCTCTTGCGTGCGAGGAAGATTGGGATGCTGTCTGCTCTCTTCTCTGCCCTGCCACTCGATGACGTCCTTGTAGTATTTCTCGAGGTAGTCGCGCTCCGCTCCTGCGTCGGACATGCGCCCCGTGTAGTTCGCCATTTCGGTCCATACGTAGGTGTGGGGGCTGTCGTGCGAAGCCGCGTCCACTTGTTCTCCCAGCTCCTGGCCAGGTGTTTCCAGGCTGTCTCTGCGCTCGATGTTGAACGTCGCCCTGTGGTATCGTTGTTCTCCGTGGTCCCAGTGATCCTGCGTGTTGTTGCCGTTGGTCGTGTCCGCGTAAGTCACTTGCAGCTGGCGAACTCCGTGTACATGTCCTTCATGGTGGACGTGTAGTTGTAGCTTGCGTTGTTCTTCGGCTCGTGAAGCACTGGTAGTAATTGATGCGCTCGTTGGTAGCAAGGCGGCCTTCGGTAACTTTTTACGTGTTCTCCGTCTTC